GACTGTCTCACTGTCCCCGATGCAGCTCTGGTTTGTGCTTAATGTCACAGCACTATACCTACCAGCAGCCTCTCCCTCTGAAAACTGTCTTGCTTGAGATGATATATTATATGGCCATGCTTCGTAAGCACACAGGCATTTATAACATGCACTCTGAGTTTCTGTTCAGAGCACATGGACACACACAGCCCCCATCTGTCCTTATTTCCATTCTTACCTAACACATGCCCTTTGGTGTGCTCATGCGTGCCTGATGATTGCCTCCTCCCTCGTTCAAAGCTTGCTCCTGACTCTGAGTTTGCTAATGTTCCTCTCCCTTGCTGAAATGTTCTCCTGCCCCACTCCCTTTATGTAAATCTTAGCCATCTTTCAAACTGTGCTCAAGCCCCACTGCCATGAAGCCGCCTCTGTCTACCTCAACCCACACTGATTTCTCCCATCTCTTAACTTATACCCATGACATTTGCTTTGCTAAAATAAGGTAAGAAGTGAAAGGCATATCTTTGGTGACGGATTCACTCCTCCTCCAAATGCCTTGCCTGCCCATTGTTTAGAAGCCTGCAGGTAGTACCTGGTAATGGTAATTTGGTCCTTATCTCAACAGGTTGGCTATCTTCAAAGGTGCTTCATTAAAAGAAAGGAGGATATAATGCATAATCCATTTGCACATGCTTTTTTCTTACAAAACTGTTGTTCAATTCTAAGAAAGCTGCAAAAAGAACATTTAAACTGGAGGCTCTCCTGGAGATTAACTTGCCTGACCTGTTACCCAAAGCAGGTGTGCATCCTCCCCCCACCCCACCCCCCCACAGCACCCTTGAAAGATGGCCATCCAACTTGTTGGCAAACGCATCTTTTATGCCCATCTCTCCAGATACCTTGATCTCTTGCTGGACAGCTCTAGTTGTTAAGGTTCTTCCTTATAATAGAGCCTTTCTCAAAGTTAAGTCTGTGGACCATCTGCACCATAGTTATTTGAGGTGCATGCTAAAATCACAGATTCCCAGGTCCAGCTTTGGCATATTGAATCAGCATTTGGAGCAAGGAGAGAAACAGTAATCTACATTGGTAACAGGCTTTCCAGGTGATGTTTATTATACATGTAAGATTCGATGCTAGAGGCAGTGGCTTCTATACCTAGAACTTAATTCTACCTTCCTAACTATGGAGAGCAAGACCCTTCCTTTTCTTCAAGGCAGTTCTTTAAACACTGGAAGATGTCAGTTCTCTCTACTTCCCCTTGTTAATATTCTTTTTCAACCCAGGTTACTTCACTCTTCCTCCTACTACCCTGAATCAAGTTGAGCACACTTCTCCCCGTTCTCTCCTGCTTGCCAATGTTCCCACCCCACCCAAATGTGATGCATAAATTAGAGACAGCTAGATTTGTAATGCTTTACTACATACTGACAATTGACCCTTGGACAATGTGGATGTTAGGGGACACTGACCCTCTGTGCAGTTGAAAATTCAGATATAAGTGTTGACTCCCCCAAATTAACCGGAAATTGACTACTCCCAAAATTGACCGGAAGCCTTACTGATAACATAAACAGTTAATTAACACATATTTTGTATCCTCTATTATATACTGTATGTTTCTAATACAGTAAGCTATAGAAAATATTAAGAAAGTCATAAAACAAAATACATTTATAGTAGTTTTTACCAGAAAAATTCCACATATAAGTGGACCTACACAGTTCAAACCCATGTTGTTCAAGGGTCAACTGTGCACCCACCAATTTACACTCCTACCAGGTGGCAACGAGAATACCACTTAGGCTTAACTAACCAGCAGGTGGTATCATTTTGTAAACTCTTTGCTATTTCAAATAGCAAAGGCACATGAGGCTGACTCCTCGTAGTTGTTTTATTTTGGGTGCCTTTAAAAAAATTGTTTTTAATGTTTTTATTTATTTTTGACATAGAGAGAGAGAGACAGAACACGAGTGGGGGAGGGGCAGAGAGAGAGAGAGAGAGAGAGACAGAATCCGAAGCAGGCTCCAGGCTCTGACCTGTCAGCACAGAGCCCAATGCGAGGCTGGAACTCATAAACCACTAAATCATGACCTGAGCTGCAGTCTGACGCTTCACCGACTAAGCCACCCAGGCGCGCCCCGGGTGCCTTTTTAAAATATTTTTCAGATCTATATTGGCCAATGGTGGTTCTTTCATGAATGGTCTGTTTCCACCTTTTCTATGTTGGTTTGTTTTTCCCTTTTAATTCATTGTGCCAGTTGCTATGGCAAGTAAATTCTTTCAATGCATTATCTCATCTAATGCTCCCAACATTTGCCCCACTTCATGGGTGAACACACTGAGCCTTTGGGAGCCTATAATGAGCCAACAGGTCTTCTGCTTCCTCGCTGATTCATTCCTTCTTTCACCGACCTTCCTTTGGAGGACAGCTCTTCATCTTCCAGACACTCTGTGAAGTGAGTTAATAGAGCCAAGTATTGGGGATAAAATTAGCAGAAAGATTCCGAAGAGCACCGGGGGTTGTCACAACTCTGTTGCATCCTACTTATAAATTTCCCTTATTCTTTGTTGTTTTTCCCTGTCTAGAGGTAATAGTGACCCAGGTATAATCAGTCAGTAAATAGTGATGCCATTTGCTGATACAAGGTTTAAAAAGAGTGGATGTATCTGTATATATATTTGCCAAGAGAGGTAGTATGTGCCTGACAGTAAAAGACTACCAGAAAAGGATCAAAGGGAGTAATTTGGAAATAATGCAGAACTCTGTAACAAATTACAGTCCATGAGATGACAGCAGTATCGGCAGAAATAGTTCAAAAGCATGTATGCAAGTAAAATTGGCTTTCATTTTTTCCATTTCACATTATCTGATATTCCACGACCAGTGTTTATGCAATTAACTAAGATCCTAATGTTAATTCATTATTTATAGCATTTTAGTCCAAACAGCTGAGCATTTCTTGGTCTTTGGTTAATTTAATCAAATTTTATGCAATTATACCTTAATTAAGAATACATATGCATAAAGTGGAAATCCTGATATTTAGATCAAATGAATTTACAAGATTAAGAGAAATGCAAACAGCTAAGTACAGACCTGGGTTGGAAGCATAATTTAAGATAATTTCACCCTACTCTCTTTTTCGAAGAAGGCAGCCAGCACCCAAGAGACAGTTCTCCACATCAGTGAGTGGTAACAGTGAGATTCAAACTGAGACCTGGTACAGCTGGGCCTTTCACTGGTCTTTACTCCTAACTTCACTCAAGTACACCCTGGTCTTCTAAGCTCTCATGGGGTTTTCCCAACGAAACCTATAAACCAGTCGTCAAAACAGCTAACGCAACTTTTAAAGTTTTGTTCCATGAGCTTTGCAATTCTGGCAGCTGGATAAAAGTCCCTGAGGGCTATACTCTTCTGTAAGCTTTAGCGGGAATTCAATTTCTTTCTTATTAGCTATTAATAGAAAAATATTCACTTGTAATTCCAAAGTCCTGCATTCTACCCCAACATAATAAACAAATATAATGAAAAAGGAAAAAAAATGCATTATGTCTTTGCAAGGCTCATTTCCGCAAGTAAGAAAGAACACTTCTTTCTTCTTTACTATTCTGTGTTTCCCATTACTCTTTTCAAACCAACAATTTTCAATTACACAAAAATTTTAAGTTCGCTTTCTCAACAATAAAATTTTAGTTCCTTACGACTCAATGCCTGGCAACCGTGTTCTTTTCACAGAATATAAAGACAATTTTGACATTAAACTGGTGGTTCTAAATAGCCATACAAAGCAAATTTTAAAAAGCAAGAGAGAGGTGCCTGGGTGGCTCTGTTGGTTCAACGTCTGACTCTTGGTTTTGGCTCAGGCCACGATCTCATGGTTCATGGGTTTGGGCCTGCTTTTGGATTCTCTCCCCCTCTCTCTCTCTGCCCTGCCCTACTCACAAACACACACTCTCGCTCAAAATAAATAAAATAAACATGAAAATAAATAAAAAGCAAGGGATATTCCAATGTGTTTATTAATTGTCTAGTTTCTAGAATTTTATCCTCCACAACTTGATCTGAATTGCAGGCACACCCCAGAGATATCGTGGGTTCGGTTCCAGACCACTGCAATAAAGTGAGTATCACAATAAAGCGAGTCAAATGAATTTTTTTGCTTCCCAGTGCATATAAGAGTTACCATTTATACTATGCTGCAGTCTAGTAAGTGTGCAATACCATTATGTCTAAAAAAAGTGCATACCTCAATTAAAAATTACTTCATTGCTACAAATGCTTACCATTATGTCCACTTTAGCCAGTCATGTTCACTGATCACAGATGACCATAACAAATATAACAATGAAGTAGTCAGAAATATTGTGAGAATTACCACAAAGTAAGCAAACGTTGTTGGGAAAATGGCGCCCAGGTAGGGTTGCCACAGACCTTTAATTTGTATATAAAAAAACAAAAACACAAACACAGGGTCTGTGACGCCCCATAAAGCAAAGCATCAGAAAGCAAGGCATGCCTGTATTTGCTAGCCTAGGCCAGCACCAGACAGGTGTTTCACCATCCCCATTCTCACGCACCAGCAATCCCCTCCACCATACGCGCTCTTCTACAAGACCAACTTGTGGGACCGACTGGTCTCTCCCACAGACGCACCTCCCCCACACTCAGACCTCCCCCCACACAGACACTCCCTCCGGAAGCAAACACTCATGCACATTTACCCTTTCCCTTCCCTCCAACACACAAATAAAAACCGACGCTGGGAATCATCATAAAGTGGCACATTATACCAAAGTTCAACCTGCATAGCCAAGCCCTCAAGCCATTAAAACCAACCCCCTTGAAAGCCATGTTAACTGTCAACTGTCTCACAAGGGACAGGCTCTTTCAAACCTCTCCTTGTAAATTCAGGCACGGTGGCCTCCTTGGAGATTCAGGCCTCCTCAGGCTGTCAGACTCAACTTGGAAGCCTTCCGCAGGGAAGGGCAGAACCCAGAGATCTGAGGAGCACACTCACTGCAAATCTGACTTGGCAGTTCTCCTCTCCCAGGTAACACAGGTCTCCTGAGACGTTGGTCTCCAGCCACAGGTGCTCTCCATTCACGGCATTCTCCTGGAAGGGAAAGACCCACCTGATTTCAGTTTTCTTTTCAGGTATGAAAGGGGGAGATCTCAAATTTAGATTCTGGAGGCAAGAAAGGAAGTGAACCTGCACAGTTTAAACACCTCTCATTTTACCCCTGAAAATACTGTTGGCATCGATCCTACCAAAGTTCTAGAAACAGAATAAGGTGTTTGGGAAAACTTTGTCTGAGCCATAACTAAAATGGACATTAGGTCTATAAATGCTTTATCCAGAGACGTGGTAATCTGTGAAACATCTATTAAACAAATGAGGAAAAATATCCCTCAGATTGTTCACTGTAAGGCCATATTTATCTAGGCCCAACACTGTAGATTCCATGACAATTGAGACTAAAATCCTATTAAAAGTTGCCTTTACTTAGCAAATTAGCTAAGAAGAAGGATAGTAGTATTAAAGCACTTTAAAGACTGAAGACATATTTACATTTATATCAGTAATGGGTAAATTGTATTCTAAGACAGAGGCTTCTTAAAACTTAATTCAAGTCACTATGTACTCAAAGCATAATAAATTCCTACTAATTCACACTTGTCCTGCTTCAGTAGGGCCTTCGCCCATAGAATTCTAGATTTCTCTAACTGAATGATTTCCCTGCTTCCAAAAATAGCCACGTACTTCTGATGGCAAACAGACATGCTGTGCCAGGCGACACCAGCGCAACAATCTGATGTTCAGGAACGCACAATGTTTCGTTGGGGTCGGGGGAGGAGTGGAATATTGCTTAAACAGGATGATGAATAGGATTCCATATTCCTTCTTCTGGCACACTACCTTGGACACATAATGGATTTATGTATTAATTGTGTATTTTGTTCATTGGCTTGAAAAAGACCCTGAGCTCGTAAGGAAAGCACTGTATTGGGTTAACCATAAAGAGATGACGTCTACTGATCTTACAGGAAAATTGCTCTTGTTTTTATGTGTTTCATCAGCGGGGCATGTAATCGGCTTCCGTGGGAGATGCTACAGACTGAATTGTGATTCCCCTCAAATTCATATGTTGAAGCCCTACTCCATGGTGTGATGGTATTTGAAGATGAGGCCTTTGGGAGGTAATTGGGTCACGGGGACAGAGCCCTCATGATTGGGATTAGAGTGCCCTTATAAGAAGAGACATGAGAGGGATCTTTCTCTCTCTTCACGCATACACTGGGGAAAGGTCATGTGGAACACAGCAAGAAGGCAGCCGTCTACAAGCCAGGAAGTGGGTTCTTATCAGGCACTAAATCTACCAGTGCCTTGATCTTGGACTTCCCAGCCTCCAGAACTGTGAGAAATAAATTCCTGTTGTTTTAGCCACCCAGGCTATGGTGTTTTGTTAAATGACTTTAATAAGGAACTTTATAGAAAAACCAAGCAATTTAGAACTCTATCTTATATGTGAGTCATCTTTATAGTAACCGACTCCAGAAATGTCCACACGACAGCCCTCTGAATCCCAAAGCTGGACGCGAAGTAGCAGAAATGTACACCAAGGAGAAAAAAAATAACAAAGTGTCATCTATTTCTTAAATGTATTTCTTCAGATTCCAATACAATACTTTTCCTTTCAGATCCTATAGGCTCAAATGATTTTCAGGTAAGAATAACCAATGGTTATAGGTGCTTCACAATCCAGGAAAGGTGACACCAACTCTCAGAACACTCAAGGAAAGTGAGGGGCAGGAAAAATTCACAAGTTATACAGATATTGAGGGATCACGAACAATGGACAAGGAAACTCTTGGGGCGGGGGGGGGGGGCGGTAGGGGTGCCCTGCATATCTCAGAGTGCCTCAAAACCATTCTAAAAAAGAAAGCAATGTTAATGAGAATTATCACCCTCCATGTCAAAGGGTGACTAATGATCTTTTCACCAAAACTTTTTCTTCTCTATTAGTCATTTTTTCCTGTAGAAAGTCATGTTCATCATTTTTTATGGAAGTCGATGGGAAAATGGGATTCCCCTCACAGTCAATCTTGTAGAAAAACAACAGAAGGAAGAAAAGAACAGCTATAGGTTTAGACCCTAAAAGTTTTCATATAGGAATGGATGAGGACAGTATATATACATTTATCTTATATATACATATATACATGAATACATACATACATATATATATATATATATTCATATATACACGCAAACTAAACATGTAATTATAGCATGAAATGTTAGGGAAACCAAAAATGCTAAAATCCTGACAAAAGTTTTAGAAAGTGACGAATAATATGTTACAGCAGGTCATATGGTCAAAAGTCATTGATAACAAACACCAAAAACTAGGCTGGCCAGAAATTAATTTCTGGTAGGTCAACAACAGCAGGCAGGAACAGTCAAGACCCAGGGACTCAGATTTGCAAGCACCCCACTAATTCACTGGGCTGGCAGGTAGGCTTCCTCTGGGCTAGGGGCTATTTGCCCCCTGAATACATACCCAGCAAGCGCTCAGAGCCTTGCTGATAAACCTTGACTCAGAGTCAGGCACAGCAGGGCTGCTAGGATTAGCTCACCTCACTCTGCAGTGGAGATGTGATTAGAAAGACTGTCCTTTGTAAGGGAAGAGGGAAAAAAAAAGACTAGAGGCTTCCTGCCACAGTGGTTCTGACCTGCTGGTTCTCAAGTTTAACTGCTCATTAAAATCACCTGGTGAGTTTTTAAGACTACCTGGGTACCACCCCCAGAGAGTCTATTTTAACTAACATGAAGTGAAACCTGGACATCATGAGTTTTCAACGTTCTGAAGTGACTCATGTGCATAGAGTCTGAGGCCCCGTAATCCAGTGGACCCTATCCTACCCCATCAACTTATCAAATAATAGATTCTAGAACGTGTCTATGACTGATCTATCAAACTTGATACTTTTCTACCCTTGTACAGTCACCAGAGAAAAAAGGTAAGAGAAGAAGGGAGATGAGGCATAAGGTAGTCCAGAGAGATTTTAAGCAAATAGACATGAAACTATGGATACATAGTGAGAAGGCTCAAGGTCAACAAGATAGATCCTGGGGATAAGGGGAAAGTCATCAACACATAAGCCTTTAAAGAAGCAACAGAATAAATTAAAATTTCATACACTTATCTAATAATCTCACTTTAGGAATGTACCCTAAGGAAATAATCCTAATGGCAAGGAAAAACTATTTACATTAAGAAGTTTATTTCTACCTTGCAATAATCAAAAATTGGAAATATGACAAATGCCCAGTGGAGAAGAATGTTTAGTAGAATAACACATGATATGGAATATTATAAAGTCATCAAGAAGTACAATTATGAAGATTGGCCACATGGAAAACTATATGATGTAAAGTCAAATAAAAATCAAATTCAAGACTACCTGTATATTATGATCACAACTCTATATACAAGTAAGAGCTGAAAAAAATTATAATCTATCCGTAGTTTGATTTCTGGACCCACACATTGCTTTTCGTTATTTCTACTTGTTCTTTTCCTTTACTGGCAAAGTTCAAAAAAGAGTTTTATTTGCTGCCTCTACTTCCTTTCTACTCATTACTTCTTGAACCCAATTCCATCAGGCTTTCTTTCTTCTCATTCCACTGTAACTACTTTTGTCAAGATCATCAGTGACCTCACATGGCTAAATCCAGTGGCTGATTCTCAGTCTTTATCTTAATCAACAGCTTTTGACACAGATGATCATTCCCTTCCTTTAGGGACACTTGCTTCCTGGAAACCCTATATATTCCTTTCGTGTTTTTGTTGTACCTCAATGGCCACTCCATCAGTCTTCATCCTTGGACCTTTCCCAAATTCCCAAACTCTAAATATTAAGAGTGTTCCACAGCTCGTTCTCAGATCTTTACTCTTCTCCCTACACCCAGTCCCAAGGTTATTGCATTTAGTTCTCATGGTTTTAGAGTCCATCAATTAATTGTTATCCCCCAAATTATTCATACACTACAAACCCCTTCTTTGAACTTCAGATCCATTAAAAAAAACCTGCCCTCTCAATATCTCTACTTAAAACCAATAAGCATCTCAAAATTTTAGTCTCAAACTCAGTTTGTGATATACTTCTTAAATCTGTTCTTACCCTAATCTTCTCCCTAACTTTTCAGCAAATGGTATTTCCATTCCTACAGCTGCAAATATTTGCTAAAAACATTGGAGTCATTCTAGATCTCTCTTTCTCATTCCTATCCATCAGCTAATGTTACTGACTCCAGTTTCAAAGGGGGTATGAAACTCAGTTACTTACCATTTCTACTTTACCACCTGATCCTCCATAATCTCTGGCTTCGAATGTCCCAATAGCCCATCATCAAAGGCCATTCACTGTATATGATGTTTATTATATCTGAATTGTTTATTCCTCTCCATTCTGATTCTGTGTGGTTCATTTCTATTCACTTTCTGGTCACCAGATCAAGTGTTACTTCCTCCAAGAAGCCATCAGTGACCCCAAAGTCTAAGTCAAGTTATTTTGTTAGTTTCTCTCATAAAACCACATTCCCTTTCCCTCTGTTGGCAACTATCCATTAATTGGCATAATTATTTGATTAATGTTTCCTCATTTACTAGATTCTAAGCTCTATGTGAACATTGTCCAGCACTTGACTAAGAGTCTGGAAAATAGATGACAAATAAATTTTAGGAATTGGAAAGATAAAGAATCAATGAATAAATGAATGAATGCACATTTTTGTTATATGCAATTCCAAAAGGTAGAAAGGGATAATTATATTTATCTGTCCATTAGTCTGGAATAATAAATTGTGATAAGTCAACATCGGTGCTTAATAGAAACATGACAGTCTTGTAAAATCACAAACAGAAGAGAAGCCTTTAAAAAAAGTCATATGAAACAATGATGAAGCATACCTTTTGCTACACTACATTTTTCCCGTGTCTCATCCTTTTCTTGCACATCTATCTTGTCTGATGCTTAATAAAGTACATAATAAAGAAGTAAACTTACCCAAAGGGAAGTCTGGACTTGGCCCTCAACTCTAGGAAGGTC